AGGTTGAGAATCACTGTTGTAGGAAGATGGAACAAGGAAGTTGGTCCTTGAACATTACACTGATTCTCTGTCTAAGATTCACTCCAAAAAATGCCTGATAGGCAAAGCAAAAAGGTGGCTGGGGAATGTGTGTCTGTTCACTTGAGTTTCGATGAAAAATAGCTCTTCAAGAATAATAATTAGAACAATTACTTTCCCTTTAGGATTACAGCAATTCCCAATATTTTGGCCCTGTTTCAAAGTAAAAAAAAATCATTTAATACATTTCTGTGTTGAAAAGATGGCACAACCATGGATGCTTAAGAGAATAACATGCAGCCTAGGCATCTGCATCATAACACATAAAAGCTACACCTTTGAGAGTCTGTCCAATATAAACTGAAGAAAGCTTTGGGTTAGTAAGGATGTATATTGTATCACTTAGGATAATTAAAATAGCTGCATGTAAAAAATAAAGACATTACCTTATTTACTTCCACTGTGATTTGTTTTCTTCTTTTATATAAAAACAAACCAGGAACTGTAGTTGCACAGAAAAGAGGTTCTTCCTTGCTCTTGTATAATAGGATCAATTAACCAAATTAAATATGGGTTACTTAACCCATTTTAATGTTCTTACTATAGATTAGAAGGCTCTTTTCAGATTAGCCCTATGCCCAATTAAGGTAGATCCTATACTCTAAAAAGGCATTACTTTAATCTGTTTAAGTGTCTGGGCAAAACAGGTTTTGTGTTATATTAACTAAGGTAGCTTACTGAAAGAAAAAAATAACTAATATGAATCTAAAGGAGCATTTTAATTTCATTATTAAATATTCTAAGAACCCATTCCTACGAATGAAATGCTACACAAAGAGTGAGAGAGACAAGAATGGATGATAAATCAACATGTATCTTGGAAGTGCCCCTTCCCTGGTAAGCATAATTAAAATTCAGGATGTTTGGACATTCTCCATGGATACAAAAGGAATACTAAAAGTAAATGGAGTTAAGAATAAAAATATTAGCATCAGTAAATATTGACTAGAGGTTAAAAGGGTAGACATCAGGCTGAAATAATAACATCGAAGTACAAACAGTAAGATCTAATAATGTGTTATGGGGGTCACAGGTTACTTAAACATGTAAAATACAAAGAAATACAGTGGAAAATGCTGACAAAATGATATAGGACCCCCCAGTAATTAGCCCGCATGACAAAAAGGACATTTACATTCTGTTGGCATGAATGCAGGGAAATTGGATCTTTTATCCATATGTGGTAGAATTGTGCCAAAGTACAAGAATTCTTTAGAAAAATAAAGGGGAAATGGAGGCATTATTAGGGCAAAAAATAGAGTTGAACAAGGAACAGTTTTAAACCCTAAAACCAGAAGGGGAAATTGGCAATAAAAATTGGGTCAAGATGACAAAATATGTGTTAGCTGTGGCACAAGTTATGGACACCTTGGGATGGAAATAGCATAAAAAATAGAATACACAAAATTTAGCAAACGATATGGTTCAGAATTATATTTTGGACAGGAAAAAATAAATATTTCTATGAATTCCCCAGGGCATAATGGGAAGGAAAATGGGAAGAACTGATAGTTAAGGTAAAGAGTAACAGAAAATATATGGAATTGATCCAGACTATCCTTATGATCCAACAAACAGAATGAATGATAAAGGAAATGTACGACTGTTCCCGGAGAAAGGGAGAGAATGGGAAAAGGGATGGATGCAAGTAGGGGCAAGAATGGTACTAATAAGGTGTAAACAATAGGCAACACCGGAAGAGGACAAATATATATGGAAGCTTTTCCCCCTTTCTTTCTTAGCTTAATGGGAGGGGGGGGGGAGTATATGTTGCCTTTGTTATTTAAAAAAAGTTCTCATGAAAATGTGGTTATGTTAAACCCTACTTGTACAATCTAAATAAAAAATAATAAAAGTCCCTTTCTTCTACCTTCTTCCCTTCCTTGAGTTTTGACCATTATTTTGGGCTACCTCTCTCTGGAATTTCTCCAACCAACATGGTTCTGAGAACTATAGTGTTTTTCCAAGATCGGCTCCTTCACTCCAAAACTTGCTCCCACTGAATTGGAGGCCCCATGCGATGGAGGAAGTGTAAAGTTTTAAAACTTGGATGGTAATACCTCAAAACCACTGCACCTGATCCAGAATGTCTTTGGAAGCAAAACACCAGCTATATGTCATATAAAGCAAAGAAAACTCACTGGTTTACTTACTTGAAAGCATTTGTCCATGAACTAGTAAAAGAACACAAACACACGATGACTTTACCCATATTTTTATGGGTTAAAGTACCGCCCTGAGTTTCCTTGGGGAGAGAGAGAGGTCTACAAATAAAGTTTTATTACTATATTACTTTTTTCAGCTTGTATGCAATTTGAAATTATTACTAAATTTCAAGGTAAGATGGAAAAGAGACATAAACAGACCAACTTCCTTATAACCTTTATAGATAAGGAGCACAGTGATAAAACCACTCCATAACACAGACAAAGGCCAAGGAAGGAAGAATGATCTTTCTTGAAGAATGTCCCTATGAAAGAAGTTACAAATTGGGTATATTTTATCAGAAATGCTTGAGATTTGGGATTCTGGGGGGATTTGGAACACTTTTATTTACATGTATGTACATAATGAAATATCTTGGAAATGGAACCCACAAATAAAAATAAAGTTCATTTATCTTTCATATACACATAGCCCTAAGCTCTTTTGTACAATATTTTTTAATAATTTTGTGTACCAGAACAAAATTTGTGCTCACTGAATCATCATACCGGCAATTTTGGAGTATGTTGAATTTTTAGATATGCTGCTCAAACTGTATTTTCTATTTAAAAAAATGCTCATACATTCTCATAGATTTTGAAAGAAGAAAGTGAGCCAATCTTAAAGCTGTCAGTTAGTATACTAAGAACCTAAGAGGAACTGAGGTTTGTGTGTGTGTGTGTGTGTGTGTGTGTGTGTCAGGAGCGACTTGAGAAACTGTAAGTCGCTTCTGGTGTGACAGAATTGGCCGTCTGCACGAACGTTGCCCAGGAGACATCCAGATATTTTAGCATCCTATGGGAGGCTTCTCTCATGTCCTTGCATGGGAAGCTGGAGCTGACAGATGGAAGCTCACCCCTCTCTCCGGATATGGACCACCAACTTTTCAGTCAGGAGTCCTGCTGGCGCAAGGGTTTAATCCATTGCACCACTGGGGCTCCTATTACCGGGAGCTCCTATAGAAGTACTGGGGAAAGTCTTTCTTTCAGAACAAAAGAAATGATCATATGTATTTATTAAATCTTATGCCTGGAAACACTCAAACAGCTTTGTGAGTATAACTTGTGAAAAATATAGTGATTGCCAGTTTGATAAATGAAAACAGATGAAGCTATTATGGTTAAAACACTGGTAGGGCAAAGTGAGCAATCCATATGGACTTTTGATGCAGCATCGTAACATTGTTTTTTGGTTGTTGTTTTTTTTAAAGAGAGAACTAGATAAAAGGGTGAGCAGCCAGCTGATAGACTGCATATAGGAGGCCTTAGTAATGGGAAGATAGATAGGAAAAATAGCCAGCAGCAACATTCCAGAGATGTGAATGCTGGTTAGATCTTTCATTAATTATTGGGACAGAGCATGTGGTAATGACACAACACGGAAATATTAACTCTTTGTAGGATATGCTACAAACTTGAGATTGAAGAGCTAGCAGATAGCAACTGAAATCAGGAAGTGCAAATGTAAAGCATTATACAAGGAGCTGGGGAACCAGTCAGAGATAAGAGAATTAAATTAGCCAGGACATTTATTCCTGTACAGATGATTGAGAGTAGATTGCTTCAGCACCGAGTTCTTCGGCTGCAGAGTTTGATCACTGCGATCTGAACAAGGAATATTAAGACGATGCAAGGTATGTATCAAATCCCATTTGATGTTGGAAACTTAACAGGACCAGCTCTAGCTAGCCCTGGGAGACTGCCAATGAATACCAGGTATGTATGCTATATTTCAGAGGAAGCAACTAGCAAAACCACCTCTGACTATCCCTTGGCTAAGAATAACCCATGAAATTAATGACGTTGCCATGCATCAATAAGTGACTTTCAGGAAAAAATATATTATTCAATACAATGAAGAATAACTGCATACTAAAAGTATTACAGCATGGTACCAACAGCAGGATACAGGGAGTGTACAACCCCCCCCCCCTTAAGCCAGCTCCAATGGCTGCCTATCAGCTTCCAAGCACAATTCAAAGTGCTGGCTTTAGCCTATAAAGCCCTAAACGGCACCGGCTCAGTTTACCTATCGGAATGTATCTCCCTCTATGAACCTCCAAGGACACTAAGATAATCTAGGGAGGCCCTGCTCTCGGTCCCACCACCATCACAGGCACGACTGGTGGGGACGAGAGACAGGGCCTTCTCCGTGGTGGTTCCTCGGCTGTGGAACTCCCTCCCCAACGACGTCAGATCAGCCCCCTCCCTCCTGACCTTTTGTTAAAAAAAAACTTAAAACCTGCCTATGTGGTTAAGCCTTTGAGTAATAAGTTGGAATAATCTGGGAAGAGAATGTTTCAACTACCTTAATGATCTGACCCGGATGATGTTTTAAACCGGCAAATTGTTTTAAATTGACTGTTTTAAAGTGATTGTTTTATAATGGTATTATTGTGTTTAATTGTATTGTGATTTTTAATGTATTGTATCAGCACCGTGGGCTGCCTATTGTAAGCCATCCTGAGCCCCTCCCCAGAGGTGAGAAGGACGGGGTATAAATGCCCCCAAATAAATAAATAAATAAAAAGTAAAGTTGCAAGCACAGAAAGTATCTAACTGCAATAACCTTCTGCAAGTTCAGACCTATGGCTAGCTTGCCATAGGTCTGTTTGCCTTATCAGTCTGCTGCATCCAGAGTTTAGGGAGGAGAAACTGATGAAGAGGAAGAGAAGGAAAAAAGGGATGTTCCCATTCACTTATTCCTGATCCACCCACCTCTGGCTTTGGTCTTACTCACTGCTGACATGCAGTCTCCTCAACAGATGATTCCTAGGGGACTGCATTCAGACAGAAAAAAATAACTTTCTATAGCCATACAAGAGAAGGGAGTCCTTGGTAAATGGGCATTGATATGTCTGGTAATTAGACGTGCCTGTTAGACAGCTACTTTTTTTTCTCAGTTTCCTCTTGTCAAGGAAGGAAGACATACAGGCAGAAATAACTATTCAGGGTTTTTCCACTTCAGTGAGGCCTCTGGGGTTCTCTGCTGCAGTCTGTTTCCGTTCTGTTTTATCTTGCACTGAGAACCATACTTGTATTTGCAGGGGACAGCAGTCCAGTGAGAAAGGTTTCACATATGTGGCCCCAATTCATTTTTGTTGTCTGTGAAAAAAAATAGGACAACCAGCTTTGAAAATGTACATATTTTGTTATCTGTCAGTTTCCTGATTCTTGCATGCATTGCACAATTTGAACGTTCAGCTTTTGAGCCATGCCTATAAAACATATTAGAGTCAGTGTGGGGAAGTTGCTCTATCACTCATTTCCACCTACCACTAAGGAGGCTGTTCAGGTCATGAACCGGTGCTTGGCCGCTGTCTCGGACTGGATGAGGGACAACAGATTGAAACTAAATCCAGACAAGACAGAGGTACTCCTGGTCAGTCGTAAGACCGAACAGGGTACGGGGTTACAGCCTGTGCTGGACGGGGTCACACTCCCCCTGAAAGCTCAGGTACGCAGTCTGGGAGTTCTCCTGGATTCATCGCTGAGCCTGGAACCCCAGGTTCAGCGGTGGTCAGGGGAGCATTCGCACAATTAAAACTTGTGCGCCAGCTGCGTCCATACCTTGGGAGGGCTGACTTGGCCACGGTAGTACACGCTTTGGTTACATCCCGCTTAGACTACTGCAACGCTCTCTACGTGGGGTTGCCTTTGAAGACTGCCCGGAAGCTGCAGCAAGTCCAACGTGCGGCAGCCAGATTACTAACGGGGGCTGGGTACAGGGAGCACACCACTCCGCTGTTACGCCAGCTCCACTGGCTGCCAATTAGCTTCCGAGCACAATTCAAAGTGCTGGTGTTGACCTATAAAGCCCTAAACGACTCCGGCCCTGTTTACCTCTCCGAACGTATTCTCCCCTACGAACCATCAAGATTATTAAGATCATCTGGAGAGGCCCTGCTCTCGGTCCCACCGGCCTCGCAAGCACGCCTGGTGGGGACGAGGGACAGGGCCTTCTCGGTGGTGGCCCCGCGACTCTGGAACTCTCTCCCTCTGGAGGCCAGAACCGCCCCATCCATCCTAACATTTAGGAAACGGGTGAAGACGTGGCTGTGGAGTCAGGCCTTCGATGAATGAGACAACACCATAGGACCCTGGATGGAAGTTGATGTAGATCAATCTTAATAGGATGACTGACCACTGTAGTTTTATATATAGTGTTTTTAAAGTTGTTTTTGTAATTGTGATATATGATATTTTAATGAGTGTATATGTTTTTTATGGCTGGAAACCAGGCTGAGTCCCTCAATGAGGTTGAGAAGCTCGGTATAGAAAACTGTGAAATAAATAAATAAATAAGAAATAAATTAAGTGTTGGATTACAACTTTGAGGACTAGGACTTGAATTCCTGCTTGGCCACAGAAACTCACTGAGTGACTTTGAGCATGTCACACTTTCTCAGCCTTAGAAGAAGGCAAAGGCAAACTTCCCCCTGAGCCAATCTTGCCCAGAAAATCCAGTGGAAGTTTTGCCATAAATTGGAAACAACTTGAAGGCAAGCAACAACATAAAACATATTACAGAACCACTTGAACACTGACAGACTGTGAAACTGTTATGGTTCAAAAGTACAAGCAGTCCCCAAGTTACAAACACCCAACTTACAAATGGAGGGAGAGGGTAATGGTGGCAGTGTCCATCTGGACAGTGGATTAGGCTAAATTGAACCCAATCTTATGATCAGGTTGCCCTGAAGCCCCAGGATACTGAAGAACTTTATATCTCTGACTTTACCATCATTTTAGTGTTTAGTGTTTAGGAAAACTATAAGAAAACCACCCACACTGGTCAAAATGCTTCAGGTTATCTTTAAAGCATATGATCTGGGATATAACAATGGCACTACAAACAGTCTCTCAGTTACAAACATTCAACTTACAAATGACTCCTAGCAGGCCTGTAGCCAGGGTTTTGATTCGGGGGGGGGGGGGGGGCTAAGTCTGAGTGAGAGAGGATCTACCCTAGCAAACCTTTTGTATCTTTATTCCAATACCCTCATGCATATGGGATATATTGAATATGGTGATCAGATCATGATATGAATAAACATAACAGTTTAAATAATAAATGTTATTTATTTACTTTCATTAACAAAATGTTTAGAATACTTTTTGACTTATTTTTTTACTTTACAGCAACAGTCTTCTTTTCTTCTCCCCGGCCATTCTGCGAATTACTTTTTCTGATTTGATAGTGATGTCCCAATGGATGGAAATCATTGCTAGTCCACTTAGTCTCTGGTGTGTCATTAAATTTCTAGATACACTTTTCACTCTCTTCATGGTTGATCTCTCCACACTGCATGCTGTTACTGGTAGAGTAGCTAACACAGTCAAAAGGAAATTAATTGGCCGATAGTAGTATTGTCACAAAGTGTTGTCACAAAGTTCCAACACTTTAAGTACCTCAGTATCTTTCTTAATTGATGGTGTAATATTACACCACATTATGTACTCAGCCTTGACGGAAGCAAGTGCTGCGTCATTTTCAAAGTATTCTGACAGTTGTTCCATATGGTGAACTTTGTCTAGACCTGAAAAGCAAAGATAGTGCACCGAAGGCCCAGGTGAGGACAAGGACGCCACCATGCCATGTACCAGTAAGGCCTTCTCGTGGACCACCCTGAGAATTTGGGGGGGGGGACTGAAGCCCCTCAACCCCCCCCCGGCTACATGCTGACTCATAGTTAAGAACGAGGTGAGACAACAGAAAGTGAGAGAAATCTACCCCTAGGAAGGGATATTCACCCCTGAAAGAGTTATAATAGGGGAAATGTGTCTCCACTGAAGTTTTCTCACCAATCCCTGTTTCAAGAACAAGCCAAATTTTACAAAATCTAATTATCACAGGGAGAGAAAGTGAGGTGAAATCTTTTGAACAGGGGCACAGACAGCAAAACAAGCACCACGGTGTGTTAATCCTTCCCAATGCTACCCAAAGCTAAAAGATATACCATATATTTTTTGCTAGGGTCACACTTTAAAAATGTACTTGTTCTGACTTACATACAAATTCAACTTAAAAACAAACCTACAGAACCTATCTTGTTCGTAACTTGGGGACTGCCTGTAAAACTTTCCAAACTTTTGGTGATACAATTCAGTGTTAAAACCTGTATGGCACCATAGTAGCTGCTCAGTCTCCAAGTTGGAGCTTTTTAGATTTAAGCAATCATGTAGTCTAAGTAAGTTTTATTGTTTTCATAGCTTTGTAACTGGATTAGACAAGAGGTATTTAACACTTTGGTAGAGATTGCGTGCCCCCCTTCAAACTCTGGCATGAATAGAAGATAATTACAGCATTCTTTTAAGCTGGTGATTACTTGCATGCAAGATGTTTGTAATTCAAAGCCAGCACAAAACTATATGAGGTGATCGGCATCACTTGAGGCTGTGAGATTGCGAATAATTTTCAAAAGAATGCTGACCACCACAGCAAACATGAAGTGATGAAGTATTCATTTAAATTTTACCTGGCTTCTGTTTGGATCATATAAAATGAGAACAAGTTCTGTAAAATACCCCACCATTGTTCCAAAGAACACAATTCAAAGTGTCAAACAAGAGAGATTACAATGGGAGAAAATCTCTGAGTAATGCTTGCAAATATTGTGCTTATGTGAGAGGAGAGATTGTACAGATTTGGAGGGTACATGAACACTGCAAGATCTATGCCATGTCCTTTTTAAGAACAGACATCCCATAAAAATGGGAAACAATACAGATGGCATATTGAAAAGGGAGTGTTTCAAAAATTGGGATTTGTTCATTGTGAAACATTGGTTGTGACATGAAAGTAGTCATAAATTATGTTGCACAATGACCGATACAGCCCTTTCATTGTGATTTTTCCACAATGTTTGCCTTCAAATAGCTTTCCCTGTGGGAATAATCCATTAAGGGACACCACTGTGCAAACTCCTTTCTTGCCTGCGGGGCCTCTTTGACACCCTCGCACTAGCCCCATTGTGAAAGAGATGGCAGTGGCTCAGCCAGCCTCAGATGACAATCTAGTCTTCCACTGACACCACTTTATTAAAGAAACCTAAGCTTGCCTTTGCCATCCTGTGATGGCAGGATAATTGCTTCTTACAAATTAAAAAGGAAGAGGGGGGAATTTCAGCAGAAAGGGCAAACCAGCCAAAAGCTGCCCCAAACAGAGACGGCTTTTGTGCCTCCACACAACAGGGCCTATTGTTCTTGGCAAACCTTGAAATCTGTTACCTATAACCTTATTGAGAAGACCTGTTTGGAACAGCAGAGATTCCAAATGGGTAACTCATACCCCCTATTTAAAAGCCATCGGCCCCTCCTCTCCCCATTAAACAGATATCCTTTTCAAAACAACTTAGAAAAACAGGCATGCTGCCAGGTAAACCTGGGGCTGCCTGCTCAAACCATCAGTCATCATGCCTTCCTTCAAATTTGCTGGAGCCTAGGTACTGACTCGTCAAGCGCCAAACGGCTCACAAGAGGGATGCCATGCAGAAGTGGAGCAGAAAGGAAGATTTCATTAATGGGGGCAAGTAGGGGAGGTGGGAGGTCAGCTGGATCCAAAGGTCTACTCTTTGATACGATCAACCATTTTGAGTGTATCTGCTGTAATGATCGCCAAGATTAAATTGTATAGTGTGCTTTAATAACATTTGTTGCATTGTGGCACCAAGTCCCAACATTCTCCCAACACAGGACCCAAAAGGAGGCACAAAAAGGGCTCCAACTGCTGTTAAAAGGAGAGCAGTGAACAGGTCAGCCTTGTTTGCCATAAGAGAGAGAAAAAACCCAGGAGTAACCACTGAAAAGACAATCCCATGTGTCCTCGCTATATAGCAATGGGATGCATCATCAAAAAGCCCTCCTGCATTGATCTTAAGATGTTTGCTGTCACTGTAATCCTTCAAGCTGTTTACAATTTATGACAACCCTAAGGTTGACCTATCAAAGTGTTTTTTCTGGAGTGGAGCGTATGTGACTCAGCCAAGGTCATCCAGTGAGTTTCATGGTTGAGAGAGGAATCAAACCCTGAGTCATAGTCCAGCGTCCACACCACTATACTACTCAGGCTCAAAAAAAAAAAAAGAAAGAAAAATATATTGTCT